ATGCGCATTAAAAAAACGGGGGCTTAACTTTTGGCGGCACAATATGTTAAAAAAAATTAAAAAATTGTCATATTTTTCTTCCTATTTAATTATGTATCTTTTCAAGAGTTGCTTTTAGGTGAAAATGGAAGAGGAAAAAATATTTGTAATAATCATGATTATTATTGTAAAAATCGAAAAAAGCGCCAAAATTGGGGTTAAAAAACATTACTTTTTAGGGTTTTTTTTTGGGGTATTTAAGTTGGGTATAGGACCTTCATACTTCGCTCAAGAAAAGTTCATGTTATACAGAATCATCACACCAAATTTCATCAATATCGGTTCTATAGATTTTGCATAATAATTTTGCAATCCAGATTTTGAAAAAAATCTGCAAATTTTCAAAATTTTGCACAGCAAAAACCAAGTGCCTTAGATACTTGAAAATTTAATCACATATAGAAGGGCTCTCAAGCTTTCAAACGCTGTTTGAAAAATTCGAATCCCTCAATTAGAAGAGCTCTGGGGCTTGTTTAAACATTGTTCGAATTTTTGTACTTATAAACAATTATAATAACTTTGTGAATATTCAATCAAATCAAATTTTTTAAAGCAAGTTTTAACAGTTATTGGAAGGACGCTTCTTTAAAAAAAAAAACAGATCGATTGGTCAATTAGTTACGTAGTTATAGCCGATCAGAGATTTTTCAAAAAACGTTTGAAAGCTTGAGAGCCCTTCTATATGTAATTAAATTTTAAAGTATCTAAGGGCCTTGGTTTTTGCTGGGCAAAATTACTATGCAAAATCTATAGAACCGATTTTGATGAAATTTGGTGTGATTCTACATAACATGAACTTTTCTTGAACCAAGTATGAAGGTCCTATACCCAACTTAAAGACCCCAAAAAAATTCTCTAAAAAGTAATGTTTTTTAACGCCATTTTTGGCGATTTTTTCGATTTTTACAATAATAATCATGATTCATTCGATTTGTAACTAGTCATATTTTGTAAAATTTAATTACAAACCATTTCCTCTTCCATTTTCGCCTAAAATGAAAAGGTACATAAGGAAGAAACATATGACATTTTTCGAATTTTTTTAACATATTGTGCCGCCAAAAGTTAAGCCCACGTTTTTTTTATGCGCATAGAAAAATTTTCGCTTCTAGTGATATTTGAAAGCCAAAAAGCCAAAAATTTCCGTGGATATACGATTCACCCAAACCAAAACAGATACCGCCTAGTCTATAATAAATATTTTAAAAAATTATGACTTGGGTAAAGTAGGTTTTTATATGAGTATTGTCGTTTATGTAAATGTATTTTGGAGATGAAATTAATAATTAAATAGGAATTAGAAAAATACAAAAACGCAAAAAAAAACAGTTCTCGGATTGCCTTTAAATTAACAGCAATCATCGTTTCAAACTTTTATTTTTTCTAAAATTTTTGTTTCAACATACCTATTAATATTTATTAATTCCATTTGGATAGACGCCTCTTAAAAAAGCTCATAAATTAAAAAACATATAGTATAGTCTTTCCGATCTCAATTGAAGATCAAAGAGCTAGGCAGTATGTCCTAGGTTCGGGCGTTACGCAGCAACTCGGCATTGAAATATTTGAAACACTTGTTCATTTAGCCATACCCACATACAGGTCTGGTCGAACTAAACGTAGAGGTGGAAAGAAAGAATACGCCCAGTTGAACAATGCGCGCGCGGGTAAACGGCGCACAAACACAGGCGCACTGGGCGATCGGCCGTAAATTTCAATTGTTGACAAATTGCCTAGCAGTGCAGAGCAATGCCGAGCAGTGATATATTTTAATGAAAATGTAAATGTTTTTTGATATGTCATAACCATAATTATAATAAAATATCATAATAAAATTGTTTGAGGACATAAATAATTAATATATTGATGGCCAAATAAACATATAATAGAACTTTTCTACACATTAGCAGAAAATTTTTTTAGGGACGCCTATGAAACTCATTAAATTTTATTGCTAGGCTTTTTTATACATGTTCAACCGACTTCGGAAAGTCTATACCTACAATTATTATTTGACAATAAATAATAATATATTAATTTTCGGTTTACTTTCGTGTGTTTTTTTATAAACACTAATAACATATGCTCATAGTCTCTTATAAATTAAAAAATAGCAAATTTAAGCAACATCTATTACAGTCCGTACGATATTTGTTGAGATAAAATTCCAAAAAGTCCCGTGCGTCACTTTCTTGGAATTAACCGCATTCGACACCCGAGGTAAAAAGGCATTGGCAGCGTGACGTTTACCTACCGTTCATCAGATTGAAATGATATGGTCTCACGTTAAAAACAACGTAGAAGAGAAAAATATTATATTTAAATTATATCTTAACAAATATTGTACGGATCATACCTTAGCTTCTATTATATGATTTGTTTGTGCCTTAGCTTCTGCAAATATGACGTAATTCCTTTAACAAGGTAGGAACATTAACTGTTTGTTTAACATCTATTACCATTTCATTCTGTCTTCCCTTAATACCCAAATGAAACTGAAACTAATAATAAATATATACGTTATTTTACAGACCACTTATACTGACAAAGGACCGAAGGTAAGACCTTTATATTCAACCAGGACTTCAGGTTAACTTACATTTATTGCTTTGTTACAGCCAGAAAACGGGAAATTTTTATACTTTGACCATTTGACTTTCTACGTGGGTAACGCCAAACAGGTGGGTAATTTTTTATCTTCCTTGACAGTTTTATTGCTTCTATCAGTATCAAAATCATTGTAAATTTTTGAAGTTTATTCTTTTCGTCATAATAAAAAATAAAATAAACTACAAAATAATATTGTTACTACATTGTTTTTAAATAATTGATAAACAACTTGATAATTGATAATTCGTAATACAGCTATCGACAATAAAAGCTTCCAACAACTCTCTCAATTCATTTTTTAAAAAAAGTTTTATTTGTTCATTTTTTAAACGTTTTAGGTTGCATACCTCTTCCATCTACAGCTACAAAAAATTAAAATTTGCTTGGACAAAAAAAATTAAATTGTACTTTGATTTTTTTTTGTAGGCCGCTTCATATTATGTAACCCGCCTAGGATTCCAGCCTGTTGCATACAAAGGGTTGGAAACCGGAAGCAGGAAGTACGCTTATCATGTAGTCAGACAAAATCAGGTATGTACTTGGAGGACATAGCTTGTTTTTATTTTTTCATTACTTACATTAAAAAAAAAACACATGCAAAAGGGGTTTGCTTTAAAAAATACCTAATCCTCAAAATACGGAAATATATAATAAAGAAATTATTGGACAAAAGATTCATTATTCTTAGTTTCTAATAAAACTCTTCTGGAAGGACACTTTTTTAATAGGTATATGGACAGAGCACACATTATTCTTATTTTTAAATCGAGAGATGGACATTCTGTTGAAAAATATCGTCCAGTGTTAGAATAATGTAGTGTAGCCAAGCCTTTCGAATCTGCCCATGATTTTTCATATTATGATGTTTTATACTGGGTGTTTCAAAAAGGTTTTACCGCACTTGGGGGGGTTATAGAAGACATTGCGGTAGAAAATTTTCGCGGACAGCGCGAAGTCTCAATTTAACCCGTTGGATTTTTTCCTCCGGGGTTACATCAAGTCCTTGGCCTATGAAACCCCTGTAGCCACCGAAGATGAACTGTTAGGCAGAGCGATGGCAGCCTGCCTTTTCGTGCAGCAACATCCGCACATGTTACAACGGTCGCTCGAGTCAAGGATACGACGCGACGGACAAAATGTAACAATGTTAGGGGTCGCCGTTTTGCACAATTATAAATTTATTATTTTTGCGTTATCCTTAATAAAAATTACCTACTTAAATATGGAAGTCTTTTGGTGTCAACGACATTACGTTTTTGGACAAAAATTGCTCCAGGGTCAAAACGGTTCATTTCCGATTCCGGTTTATATGCAAAAATTTTGTACCGCAAGTTTGGCAACGCCTTTTTGAAACACCCTGTATATAGAAAAAAATGAGTACAGTCCGTACAATATTTGTTGCATCGAAATCCAAGAAAATAATAAGCCAATAAAGTTCTGTTATCGGAATTACTATAACAATTTACCGGGTCGTCGGGCATCCCCCAATGTCTTTCTACTTCGTGTGTCGAATGCGGTTAATTCCAAGAAAGTGACGCAGGAGTCTTTTTGGAAATCCAACTCAACAAATATCGTACGGACGTACTTAAGTTTATGTGATGAGAACTTAGGAACATTTGATTTGGCTTTGACACATTTTGGGTTTATTTCCATATTT